TCACAAATGAACATTGTCTTCAGAAGCGATGAATGAACCTACGGTCGGTTTTAGCCAACTTAGGGAAGGTATCTTCTGACATCGCCACATCGCCTTGAGCATTAGAATTTGTAAGTCATAGACTCAGGTAAAGTCTTCAACAGGGTATTTTTAAACAGAATGAAGGACTTCGTAGACGCCCAACTTCGAGATCAACAGGGCGGATTTCGTAAGGATCGATCATGTGCTGACCAAATTGCTACATCACGGATCATTGTGGAACAATCAATTGAATGGAACCCACCACTCTACATCAACTTCATCGACTATGAGAAAGCATTTGATAGAGTGGATAGGAAAACACTGTGGAGGCTTCTTCGACACTACGGTGTGCCTGAGAAAATAGTTAACATCATACAGAATTCTTATGATAGATGCAACTGCAAAATCGTACACGGAGGACAGCTAACAGACTCTTTCGATGTGAAGATCGGTGTCAGGCAACGTTTCTTACTCTCACCCTTTCTCTTTCTCCTGGTCATCAATCGACTGGATTGTGAAGACGTCGACATCTGGAGCGAAGCACGGTATCAACTGGACAGTTAGGACGCAGCTGGACGATCTGGACTTCGCAAATGACCTGGCTCTTTTATCAAACACGCAACAACAAATGTAAGAGAAGACGACCAGTGTAGCAGCAGCCTCTGCAGCAGTAGGTCTCAACAAACATAAAGGAAAAAGGCGAAATTCTCTGATGCAACACAACATGCACTAACCAAATCACTCTTGATAGAGGTGCCTTGGAGGACGTTAACACCTTTACATATCTGAGCATCATCATCGACAATCAAGGTGGATCCGATGCAGATGTGAGGGCACGGATTGGCAAAGCAAGGGCTGCATTTCTACAGTTGAAAAATATCTGGAACTCCAAACAACTTTCAAACAAAACCAAAATCAGCATTTTCAATACAAATGTCAAGACAGTTCTACTGTATTGAGCGGAAACATGGAGAACTACCAATGCCATCATCCAGAAGATACAAGTGTTTATTAACAGTTGTCTTCGCAAAATACTTCGTATTCGTTGGACAGACACGATCAGCAACAACGAACTGTGCGAGAAAACAAACCAGATTCCTTCAGTGAAGGAGGAAATCAGGAAGAAGCGGTGGAAGTGGATAGGACACACACTACGGAAAGCACCTAACTGAGTCACAAGACAAGCCCTCACATGGAACCCTCAAGGCAAAAGGAAAAGAGGAAGGCCAAAGAATACATTAAGTCGAGAAATAGAGAAAGATATGAGAGGAATGAACAAACATTGGACAGAACTGGAGAGGGAAGCCGAGGACAGAGTTGGTTAGTGATATGTTCGTCACTTAGTATGCTTGAGGCTATTACGAGTTTACCTTAGTCGATAAACGCGAACGAGACTTTTACCAGCTTCCAGGAAGGCTACCTTGAATCCAAACGGGAAAACAGAAGTCTTGGTAAGAGTAGAAAGTATATTCTACAAACACCCAGCAATCCAGTACAATCAAGCATACAACTCTCGTTTATTTATACAACATAACAACGTCCTTGAGACAGTTAAGAAAATAGCATACTAAAATACACTGTAGCCAATCACAGCCATTGATTTTCCTGGTGGGAATTGAAATCTCAAGGTCATTTGATCAGCCCCTGCTGGCGAACGTGAAAACCGAAATACGGCATTATCAAGCGAATTTTGGGGATCTAACATCCCCAACACTCCTCCCCTTTTTAATAGCGTGTTCTCCTGTGGTTGACTTGCATCTTGACTATTGTTCGCCGCTGTCTGAGGGGATACCTTCGGGAACGAAGAACAGCTTGCTGCTGAGTTTCTTCTCGTGGCGGGGCTCTCGGTAGGTTGAAGGTATCAAGCAAGATGTCAAGGGGAAGGCTTTCTGCTCTTGATGGGCGATCTGGGGCTAGCCGTCTGCGTATCTGATTGCGATGACGTGACCATTTATCACCTCCTACCTCTACTTCGTACATAACTCGACCAACCCTTCTGACCACTCTCGCTTCTACCCAAGGACCATGGTTCGTTCTGTAGTCGCGGGCAAACACAGGGCATCCTACCTCGTAAGCGGATTGTCTTTGCTGCTTTGTCTCTACTGATGAGGGTGCATTAGTCGGATGCATCAGGCTGTGGATCGTTTTCAATCTTCTTCCCATCAGGATTTCAGCTGGGGACTTTTGCTCCGGTAACAATTCATTTGGTGTTGTCCGATAGACGTACAAGAAATTTTGTAACGTTTCGGCTGGCGTCCCCTCCCCTTTTGACTTGAGCAGTGCTCTTTTAAACGTATCCACAAACCTTTCCGCCTGCCCATTCGATTGCGGGTGGTATGGTGGCGAGCGTAAGTGTTTAATGGCTAGCCGTTGACAGAAATTCTGGAATTGGGAAGAGGTGAATTGAGAGCCATTGTCGGATACGATCACATCTGGTATGCCATTTCGTGAGAAAATTTCAGTTAGGAGCTGTATAGTCTTAGTTGTAGTGGGCGGCATAACGGGGCTGATTTCCGGCCATTTAGAAAAGGCGTCGACGACAGTTAAATACATAGTTCCATTTATTGGGCCAGCGAAGTCGACATGTATCCTGGACCAAGGATGCTCAGGTTTGGGCCATGAAACCGGCGGAATTTTGGCATTCATCTTTGCCGCCTGCTGACACCGGATGCATTTTTCAACCAACGCTGTGACATGTTGATCCATGTGAGGCCAGTATGCATAACTTCTGGCTATGGACTTCATTCGTTTAATCCCAGGATGACCAAGATGGAACTGTCTCAGCACTTTTGCACGAAGGGATGCTGGCACCACTACTCTTTCACCAAACATCAGACAATCGTTGACGATGCATAGTGACTCCCGCCGCTGATACAGTTGCTTCATGTCACCTTCAAACTTTTTCGACGGCCAACCTTTAGTGACATATTTCATCGTCGTCTTGATGATGGGGTCGTTTCTAGAAGCATTTTGTATGTCTGTTGCAGACACCGGTAATGCGCGAACTGCGGTTGTCAGATAACATTCTGCGTGGTTCTTCGTATACGCTTCTGGGTCATGTCGTTGTGATACCAGGTTACATATGGTATTTAGCGGGACATCAGCCAATTTTAGCTGGTCGAACCAATCTAAACCAAGTAAATTTAGATCAGCTGGCGTTATATAGCATACCCCAGTAAACGACGAATCTCGGAAAGCAACTTTACATTCCAATTGTCCTAACAGACGAAGATTATTACCACATGCTGTACGAGGCTTTTGTGTTGTGTGCTGCAGGCTTGGGCTGCCCAATTTGGTCCAATTTTTGCGTGAGAGGATAGTGACATCAGATGCAGTATCTATTTGCATTCTACACAAATAACCGTTAATATTAAGAGTAATAAATTTCCTCTCACCTGGTGATGAGCTTTGGCAGGAAGATATTAGGCTCAATGCATTGGTACTGGATCTAGGAACAGGCTTCTTAGCACTTCTGGATCGCTTTGGCTTTTTCTGTAGGCAAAAGCCATCTTTATGACCGATGACTTTACACTTCCTGCATCTATGCTGCCTAAATGGGCAGTTCCGTACATAGTGCCATGAACCGCAGTGCCAGCAAGCAGAAGGTGGATTCATTTTGGGTTTTTGGGCCGAATTGGAGCGGGGTGAACTGGGTGTAGCATGGGCAGACTTATAATGATTAGGTGGCTGCTGTACCAAATGAATTTCAGATCGGCTTGAACTACCACTCTGAACTATAGTCGAGTCTCGTTGTAGGTCAGTGAGACGTTGGTACTCATGAGCCATATCATTAAGCGTAAGCTTTGGATCTTGCTCCAACCGACTTAGTAGCCTTGTTCTAATGTCACTGAACTTACTCGACTGGAGGCTGCAGATGAGAATGAGGGCTTTGAACTGGTCTTCCGACAAAGACTTCAACCGAAAGCGTTCGCATTCACGGTTGACGATGCCCACGTGCGTAAGAAAATCATCATCTTCGTTCATAATAAGCTTCAAACATCGATAACGAGTATTAAATAGTGACGAGTTGTCTCCAAAGTGTTGGCTTAAAGTCTGAACAGTCTCAGAAAACGAACAATCTCGTGGGTTCAAATTCATTTGTTTCATTAACAGCTCCAACATACGTTCCTGGAACTGTTCATATCGTTTACCTTGACGTTCCAGTAAAGATTCTAACTGTTCAAGGTTAATTGACATTGTGAATTGTGAGCCCCGTCGCCACTGATATGTTTTGTGGATATGGTTTTTACCCCGTCGCCACTGATATGTTCGTCACTTAGTATGCTTGAGGCTATTACGAGTTTACCTTAGTCGATAAACGCGAACGAGACTTTTACCAGCTTCCAGGAAGGCTACCTTGAATCCAAACGGGAAAACAGAAGTCTTGGTAAGAGTAGAAAGTATATTCTACAAACACCCAGCAATCCAGTACAATCAAGCATACAACTCTCGTTTATTTATACAACATAACAACGTCCTTGAGACAGTTAAGAAAATAGCATACTAAAATACACTGTAGCCAATCACAGCCATTGATTTTCCTGGTGGGAATTGAAATCTCAAGGTCATTTGATCAGCCCCTGCTGGCGAACGTGAAAACCGAAATACGGCATTATCAAGCGAATTTTGGGGATCTAACATCCCCAACAGTTGGCGAAAACTGGTGGGCGGCCTATGCTCCATTGGGTGTAACAGGCGTAAGTAAGTAAGTAAGTAAGTAAGTAAGTAAGTAAGTAAGTAAGTAAGTAAGTAAGTAAGTAAGTAAGTAAGTAAGTAAGTAAGTAAGTAAGTAAGTAAGTAAGTAAGTAAGACTCCAGAAAGCGATGTCACCTACTCCGATTTACTCACTAATCCAATAAACAAAAAAATCGACTAACATCATAGTAGAACCTGTCAAAATCAAATCTTTCATATACATTTATAAATGGAAATAATCATCAGTCACATTATATACTACTACTACAACTACTACTACTAACCTTACTACTTCGAATACTTGACGCACCGCTTAATTCATCCACACTTTGTACAGAACTAGTCGATGAAATACCATTATTAGTAGTATTGGTACGTGGAATAGAATAATCACAATTATTACTGTTATTATCATGTTTTTTATTTCTTTGTCGTCGATGATACACTGGATCGAATGGTTTCACAAATAATCGATCATTATCAGTCAATCGACGATTCGCTTGATTTGAATTCAATAAAGGTGGATTGATATTTTCATTATCAGACAAGAGACCACCGCCTCCAACATTCACGTTGTGTATTTTCGATTCAGTCATAGGATAATTGCATTTTGAATGAGTTTTGTGATGTTGATGATGATTTGAACATGTATCAGGAATAAGGTTATGAGAGAATCCCTTTTTATTAAAAAATGAAAAATAAAACAACATATAAATTATAAGTCAATCAGATGCAACGTAGAACTTCGTACGTAAGTGCATCAGTTCATGTCGCCATACCACATCAGCACAGACAGATGTAATTTTCAATTCAAATCCAATAGTAGAAGAGGTAGTAAAGGTATTAGAAGTAATCGGAGAGGTTAGGATTAGAAGATATTATTCAAGAAGTATGATTCAGTGAGACCAGTTTAGAGAGAATAAAGTAGAGGTGTTGAAGAATCCAGAAGATTAGGATTTGAGAGAACACAAAGAATAAATGCACCGGCGCCATTGCGAACGATTTTGAGCCATATCATTCAAGGTCTCTAACCATCGATTATTATTATCTCGCGGACCCCAACCAGGTAGTCGACAATTACCGACATGACTCAGTCCACTTGTCAGTGACTTCATGGATTGCCTCCATGTTTTGGTTTGGCCACCCCTAGATTTCTTCCAATCTACTCCTACACTGTAAAACATAGCTGAGTCAATCACAATGTAGAAATTAGTACGTACGTACGTGCATCAGTTCAAGTTGCCATACCACATTAGCACACAGAGATGCAATTGTCAATTCAAATACCATAATGGTAGAGAAGTGATCTGAAGTAATGAGAAGTATTCGGAAACATCACCATTCGAAGATATGATTCAAGAAGTAGAATCTAGTGAAATAGATTTGAGATGAGTTTACATTAGAATTTAACGAAACAAAAGATTGGATGCAGTTGCGTTATTGCAACCATCGATTACTATCATCTCGATGACTCGGTGGTTAGAGGCGTCCGCTCTCATACACATAACAGAACCCAAGATCAAATTGGTCACAATCCAATACCCTCTTACCTTCATGACCAAACAGTCTTACATTCCTTGATCATCTTCAATCAAGGACAAGACCACGATCAGATTATTCAATGAATCAGCCATTACACAACAGTTAAGCGATATCGTAAAAAACTAACCTATTGAATTAGTAATATTTTTGTAGGTTAACAACAGGGCACTACACATACGAGAAGTAGCAACCTGATTGATGAGATGGTTACGCAAGCTTCTATTTAAACAGTATAGTTAGAAAATGTATTGCGGAGTAGCCAACAGCCGCCTAATTAGGCCGGTAATCCTGACAAATCGATGAATAAAAGGGACAAAAACCTACGAGCAACAGTAGAGACTACAATGGAGCATTATTCTCACGATTATTGTTGTCAGCCAAGTTGAAAGATCCAAAGCTTTTAGTTACGGGTTCATTCATTATTAGTTATAACTAATATGGTGATATTTGTACTTGATGGAAATGCCTTAGAAGACATGAAAACGTTTACATATATAAATCATCAACAAGCAAGATGAATCCGATGCGAATCTGAAGGCACGGATCAAGGAAGCAAGGGTTGCATTTTTTAAAACTGAACAACATCTGGACATCTAAACAACTGTCAAATGACACCAAAATCAGAATTTTCAATTTAAAAAAATGTCAAGAAAGTTCTATTGGTTGGCGCGTAAACTTGGAAAACTACAAAGGCCATCATTCAGTAGTATTTATTAACAGTTGTCTACGCAAAATACATCGGATCCATTAGTCAGACACCTACTGTGAGAAAGAACAAACCAGATTCCAGTGGAGGAAGAAACACTTGAAGTGGATAGTGCACACATTACGGACAGCATCCAAATGCGTCACAAGACAAGCCCCCACTTGGAATCCTCAAGGCCAAATGGAAATGAAGAAGACCGAAAATCACAATACGCTGAGAAATGGATAGAATGAATAACAATTGGACAGAACTGGAAAGGAAGGCCCAGGATAGTGTCATATGGAGAATGCCGGTCGTCGCCCTATGCTCCATTGCGAGTAACAGGCGTAAGTAAGTAAGTAAATAAGTAAGCAAGTAATATGATGATATTGTTCAAACTTTATTTTAGTGACACAACCGTTTACATTCTCTCACTATGATATAATAAACTATTCTCGATAAATATTCATTCACCTAAAAAAAGTTGAAAAGGTCATAGTGGTTGGTATATGACCAGACAGTACATAAACCAAAAATAGAATTACCATAGTAACAGATAAAAACGTTTACACTCGGATTATATATATATATATATATATATATATATATATATATATATATATATAATCCGACCGTAGCTGCTACCTTGATGTGGTGGTCGAGCTTGCCTATCATGATGACCCAACTGAGTTATATTGACTGGATCCTGAAGGTTCTACCATGCCAGGTAGGTCGATTGGAGAACGATGAGACTAAAAGCATCTACTCAACGTCTGAGGGCAAAGTTGTACTGTTAAGTGAAAATAGGTGTAAGGAGAGAAATAAGGTGTCTCTCTCGGATAACCAACATCTGCGGCGATGCTACCTTCTCACAAGGAAGGAAGGGTTAGAAAATGTCAACCCTAAAGATGTCACACCTCACCCTAACTCACGGATTTCCGTCTCCTTGGGTAAGGGTACCCACTAAGGGCTTTTAAGAACGGAGCTAATACTAAAAACCCTTTATAAAAAGGCCGTGCGTGACCTGCCTCAAGCAGTTGTTCCTTGGACTATGCGGTCACGCACCCAGGTCTCTAAGACCAACAATAATCTACCTTCTTCTTCAGGTTCCTCAAGAAACAACCTTCCACGGTGTGGGCAGCCGGGAAGTGACAACCGCCCTCATACCCGTAACAGCCCACGAGACCAAATTGGTCAAAATCAAATCCTTCCTACACCCTCTATTATTTCCCTTATCTCCACGACTAACTCTCCTCACATTCATTTATCACACTGCATCGCTAATGCATCTGACTGATATATATGTATATATATATATCCACGTTTTGTACGACTGACTAACCAGAATACTCGAAATCACAAACCGGTATTAGGCAGACAACCGCTGGAAACCTAGAAGCACGGAATAACCGTTTCGTCGTAATTTGTAAAGCGATTCAGTGGTATAGAAGTTGAGACCGAAGGTCCAGGATGCACATTACTGATGAATCCCACACTAAGACGAAACAACTGTCTTAGTACATCCAGATTTCCACTAATGGTCTAGCTACGATTAGTTCCTAATTTTAACTATCAAAGTAGTACAATCGGTACAAAACTTCTTCACTAATAACTCAACTGACAGGTGAATTGTGTGTTAACATAGAGAACGTTTATCCAAACCAACTATTCGAAACTTCCCCCAAGTGGAAATTAACTGCAGCACAAGCATTCAAGCAGCATCATACAAAGATTAAAAATGACGAAAACCGATTACAAGTTATATCACTTGATGTCCCCGACCAGGAAATTCGAATCACCACTCCACAAGTATTAAACAAACATTTATGAACTAGTCGTGTTTCGGCTTAACTACCTTAGAGTATTTTGTTTAACTTATTTACGTATCAGATATCGAAGAAAGCTTCACTTCGAGCTTTTCTATGGTTATATACTGTCGACGATCCCAAGCCCGGAAAAAAAAAAGAGGAAGGATTGGATTAGTGACCAAATCCTGCAGAAATTCAACTGATTGAAGAAAAAAAAATTCACGTTAACCATAAAAATAATTCGCTAGTCGGCGCGGTCTATGCTGAATTAAGGGTAACAACAGGATAGACAGTGCTTGGATACGTGTAAGACAATGTATTATTCCACAAGTAGGAGAGTTGGTTAGACACCGAAAACATAATACAACATAGAGAGAGACAAAGAGAGACTTACAATTTTTCTATCCAACGTTGGCATATTTACATTTTGAATATTGGTAGACAAAGAGTAGTATGGTGATTTATGATTATTACTATTATCTTTCTCTGTATTTATTGACTTGATAAGATTTGGATCCATTGCCTTAAAATCAACAGATGCAGAGATAAGTGCTTCACTAAATGATTGTATATCTTTTGGTAAAGGTTGATAACCAGCAGCTAACGGGGATGGTGTTGTTGATTCTTGCACGAAACAATTGATCTCTTGCATAGATTTTAAACTGGAATTTTTCTGCTGTTGTTCATTGAATAATAACGTTGAAGGAATTGTTCGACAAGTGGTAGTCGTAGTACTGTTGTTGTTGTTATTGGTGTTAGCATTGCTTACAGAAGACTCTTTATTATGAGTGTGATTGTGATAAGTTTTGCGATTCGTTGCTTTAATGATGATTCGATTAGATGATTGATTGATATTTTCCGAAGTTAATTGACTTAATGTACCAACGATATCTTTAGAGTTGATTACCTGCAATAAAGAGGTGAGATGAATTAGGCGGCACCTGTTCTACTTATCAACATGAAATAAGAGATATAAACAGACAAGTTTGCTGGAAACTACAAGTTAAAAAATTTACTTTTTGTGAAATTCAATTAATCAGAGAGAGAGAGAGAGAGAGATTTTTTGTTTTAGAAAAACTAGGTTTTCGGTGTATGAGATTGGGATTATCAGATTTTCTGATTGGTGTTAATCAATTGGATAGACGTGGCTGTATAGACCACGTTTTCACACTCAGACAGGTCCTGGAACATAGACACACATTTAAGCGTCCTACAATAGTTGTCTTCCTAGACCTTAAGGCGGCATTTGACTCAGTGGATCGTGAGGTTCTGTGGCAGTGTCTGTCATTGAAAGGTGTACCAAACAAGTACATTAACCTTATACAAGCACTCTCTCTACTCGAACACCACTGGTCGAGTGAGGGCTTATGGCGAACTGTCACCGGAATTCTTCACTTCAAGTGGTGTCCGTCAGGGATGTCCACTTTCTCCATTCTTGTTTAATTTTATCATTAGACATGCTCCTAGATATAACCTTATCCTTGTCTGAATTTTCAGGAGTAGACCTTTTACCTGCTGGCTCGCTTATTGACTTAGAGTATGCCGATGACATTGTCCTACTTGGTGAAGACGTTGACAAAATGAAGAGTCTTCTGACTACCCTAAGCAACAATGCAAGCATGTTCGGGATGCGGTTTTCCCCCTCGAAATGCAAAATGTTGCTTCAAGATTGGGTTGCATCGGCAGTGAAGTAGTCGAACGTGTAGACCGCTTCACTTATCTACGGAGTCTCATCAGTGCCGATGGCCCGGTGACTTAACGAAATCTCAGCACGGATACAGAAAGGTCGATTGGTTTTTGACAACTTGCGTCACTTATGGCTTAGGCGAGATATCCGTTTGCTAACCAAAGGACGAGTGTACTGTGCAGCAGTTCGCTCCGTTCTCCTATATGGGTGCGGAACATGGCCAATGAGAGTAGAAGATATTCGTAGGTTACTACTAGTTTTCGATCATAGAGATTTAAGAAGCATTGCTCGTATACCGTGGGACAACCGAGTGAGCAACGCTGTTATTAGGAATCTGACTGACTGACTGGATAGATAGAATTAAAATACAGTCAAAGTCTAATTTACAAATCATATTTTCAGTTGAAGTGAATCCATGGTTTTTGTCAATAGTAACTCTTCATTGTTGATCATTTTGACACACACAAACAAACACAAGAGCACGTGACCTGCTTTTAGCTTCAAGTGATGAATAGGGAAGCTACTAACATGGATGAATCAATCGATAAATCAAAATTCAGTTTGTGGAATCATTCAAATTCACTGTATAATGAATGATCTTAGGTGTTCAAAAGGTCAGTCAAAGCTGGAATACCTTAATGGCAAAGAATTCGAACTGTGAAGCTGGATGTAATGTAAGTTCATGAGGGAATGTAGGAACCACCTAATGAGAAGTGTCATTTAGGTAAAAAAAAAAATACAAGTTTGGGAGTTCCTTTTTTCAACTACCAAAGACATTGAAGTGATTTCATTCCAGTTAACAAACATGAGTTGAATTGAATTGTCAGATGGTTTATACATAAACATCAGTAATATGGAAACATTTTGTCTGATGTAGGGATAAGCTGGAAGTTATGGGTAGCGACCAAACCGAAACCGAGCATACAGCTATGAAGTCACAGACAACTGACCAAAACCAAGTTAGTAGGTGTAGACTACCCAACTGCTTGTAGTTCTTGTGATGGTTCTTGTAACCGATGGTTAGAGACTTTGAATGACATGGTCACTCACAATTGTTTGCAATGGCGCAGATTTATCTTACTGAATTATACTTTTCGAATCATATTTTCGCTCCCTAATCTTCTCCAGTATTTCTAATACTTCTACTATCTCTACCACTATTGGATTTGAATCGACAATTGCATCTCTGCGCTAATATGGTATGGTAACTTCAGCTGATGTACGTACGTATCAAGTTCTACGTTGCAGCTGCCTAACTAACTGTTTTATATGGTTTGAGTGGTGAAGATTGAAAGTTTAAACATCCCGGTAGAAGTCAACATTCAAACCAACAGGCCCGACCGTAGCTGCTACCTTGACGTCGTGAACAGGCTTGCCTATCGTGATGATCCAACCTAAGCTATACTGGCTGTAACATATGTTCCTCAAGGTTCTACCATGCCAGGAAGGTCGATTGGAGAACGATGAGACTAAAAGCAGCTACTCAAGGTCTGAGGGCGAAGTCGTACTGCTGACTGACTGAAGAGGGGTGTGACAGCAGTAGGGTGTTTCCCTCGGATAACCAGCATCTGCAGCGATGCTGCCTTCTCACAAGGAACGAAGGGTAAGAAAAGGTCGACCCTAAAAATGTCATACCTCACCCTACCTCACGGATTTCCGTCTCTGGCGGTAAGGACTGCGCACTAAAGTCTTTTAAGAGCGGAGCTAATTCACTCAAAACCCTTCATAAAAAGTCCATGTGTGACCGGCCTCAAGCAGTTGTCCCTTTGGCTCTGCGGTCAGCAACCAGGTCTCTAAGTTCAACACTAATCTATCTTCCTTTTCAGTTCCCTCAAAAAACAACCTTCCACGATGTGTGCAGCCGCGAAGTGACAATCGCCCTCATACCCACAACAGCACACAAGATCAAATTGGTCGAAATCAAACCAACAGGCCACAAAATCATTACCTTCAATTCGGATTATTCTCTCAAGGGAAAAAAATACAATGCAACTTAAAAGTCGAGTATCTTATATTGTTTTGATTTTTAGTTTCAATCATGTTGTGCAACATGAAATAGCTCATCAAATATTTGCTTCTTTTAAATTTACCACTAGCTCTACAACCCCCCAGAGTTTATTTCATTCAAAAAATATTAACATTAACATTGCAATAATAAGAAAAATTCAATCAAACCTGAGTTTCAACTGGATAACTGGATCGTAAATGCGATGGTTGTAAACGATTGCGCAAATGTAATTCTTTCAGTCGGTTAGGATCTAAATTAAGAGAAGAGCAGAAAATCGAGGTGAAGAGAAAAAACTACACATACACACACATTAAAATGGAATAAAATATTATTTTAAGATCATGAATCAATCATTGCTAGACAACTATCAGAAATCTGGAAGTACTGGACGGCTATCTCGTCATAGTATGGGACTCATCAGCAGCACACATCGACGACTCCCGTTTATAACAGAAACCAAACCTTAGAACCGTCGGTCGTGTGCACGAATGCCTCACCTATAGACCACTAAGGCTGGCACATCCAACATTGTTAATGTCTAACTCTGATCATCCTACAGTTTGGTGCAACTAGTGGAGCTCAACCCTGTAGCTTGTAGGCAGCTTAACTAGTGAAGATAGTGACTGAGGTTGATGGATGCCAGTCAAGTAATCTAGAGGTTAAGCATTCATGTGCAAGATCGAAGATCGTTGGTTGGATCCCTACGAGAGTAGTGTGAGTCATCGATGTGCACTGCCACTGATGAATAGTAGTCCTATACCAGGAAGAAACGGCCAGCCAGTGAGTGCTTCCAAGTTTCGAATTGTGGTCAAACAATGATTGATTCACGATCTGAATAATAAGAATATAAACAGTATACAGATTAAATATAGAAAATATTACGTAATCATGCAATTTAATCCTATCATGAAAAATCACAGCAGATGAATGATCACACCAAACACACACGCACACACAACACAGTTTGATTGTGTTTATCATATAAGATGAAAAGACTATGCATATCTAGAGTAGTAATGCGGGTCGACAAAAAGTAATGTTTAAAGTTTCCAGTTAAACAAGACAAGACAAACAACACATTGTTCACAATAAGATTTAGTTTAGTTGATATGCAGCAATGAAACAACAGTGAGAGATTCAATCATCATGCATTTTGAAAAAAAAAGATTAGGATGCTTCTTCAAGAAGAAAAAAACAATACAATCAGTCAATCATGTTACCGAAACTCCAAGACGGTGGAATTGGATCAGAAAGTCTAGAACTGGAACCATTCAACCTAATCGCCGCTAAAATAACAATAATAATAATAATAATAATAACAGAATTGAGAATATTACAAACGATGGTGATATTTAGCAGACAACGACTACTACTAGAATCCTCATGGTGTAGTGAAGGAGAAGAACACAGAGGTGAGGGCAACCGAATTATGTATTTAACGGAAATTACAGAGATACTCAGAAAATAGGAAAATCATATCGTAAACCGTTGTTAATTTGCAAATCTTCAATTCATCATCAATCTATTGTCTGACATTTCACTCACTATTCATGCGTTTGTTTCATACAAATTCCATTGTGTTCCCACTCTTCTTCCTTTCTTGCTTGATCTTCCCCCATTTTCTGCTGCCAGACATTATGTTTACACTCGCGTCATATACTACTTATAAGTAGCGCGCACCACCATGGGAATGTAATCTTATGCAATCGATTCAGTCTCATTTAATTTTGAATTAGGAAAAAAGCCTTTTTATTTCACAGTCAACAATAACACTATCTTATACAGCGTTGAGAGCAATCAAACAATTTAGTTTACTACATTTGACTGTTTAAGATCATTAACTACCAAAAAAGTTGTATTGAAATGGTAAACACACGTAAAATACGCAAACGAAACAATACCCCTTGACAGACAGACAGGCAGACAGATACAACGCAGAACTTTGTACATAAGTACATTAGTTCAGGTTGCCAAACCACGACGTCAACACAGAGACATAACTGTCAGTTCAAATCCAATAGTGATAGTGATAATAGAAGTATCAGCAATAATGGAGAAGATTGGGGAGCAAAGATATGATTCGAAAAGTATAATTGAGTAAGATAAATTTAGAAGGAGAAAGATAGAGATGATGAGGAATTCAGAAGCTTAGAATTTCATAGAACACAAAGATTGGATGAACCTGCGATATTGCACACGATTTTGGGCCATGTCATTCAAGGTCTCTAACGATTTGGTGACTTTCATCTCGCAGACTCCAACCAGATAGCCTATATCTACCAACATAATTCAGTCCATATACCCCTTGCGCTCTGAAGATATCAGTATGCACATATTATCAAGCACTGAACCTGGAAATTCAACTAGATAGTTTCGCGTCAAGTCTGAGAAAAACCATCGACTAGCCATCAGTCAACAATAATACTACTACCACAAAATGCATTCCCTTAAACCCTAATGAATCTCACTAATCTAGTAATACAGTACGATGTCAATCAGTCAGTTGCAACGTAGAACTTCGTACGTAAGTACATCAGTTCATGTTACCATCACACATCAGCACAGACAGATGAAATTGTCAATTCAAATCCAATAGTAGTAGAGGTAGTAAAGGTATTAGAAGTAGTCGGAGAGGTTAGGATTAGAAGATATCATTCAAGAAGTATGATTAAATGAGAAAAGTTTAGAAAGAAAAAACCAGAGGTGTTGAAGAATACAGAAGATTAGGATTTGAGAGAACATAAAGAATAAATACACTGGCGCCATTGCGAACGATTTTGAGCCACCTCGTTCAAGGTCTCTAACCATCGATTATTATTATCTCGCGGACCCCAACCAGGTGCAGTCGACAATTATCGACATGGCTAAGTCCACCCGTCAATGACTTCATGGAGTTCTGCCATGTTTTGGTCTGAATGCCCCTAACTTTCTTCCAACCTATTCCTACACTACAAAACCCACTCCTACTCCACAGTACATAGCTCGTCGAAGTAGTCAGTGGTTAGGCATACGCAACACATGTCCCAATCACCTCAACTGATGAAGTTACACCACTTCATCTATTGATCTGCCATTCTTACCTAGAACCCGATTCCTAATAACACCATTGCTTACTCAGTTGTCCCACGATATACGAGCAATGCTTCTTAAACATCTATGATCGAATACTAGTAACCGACGAATATCTACTCTCACTGGCCATGTTTCACAGCCATAAAGTAAGACGGAGCGAACTACTGCGCAGTACACTCGTCCTTTAGTCATAAATCATAAAGAAATAGTAGAATGAAACTGAGTGAATATTTTTTTTCAAAATGTAATGAATCTTGCGGGGGCAGGTGGGGGGGGGGAAGTGAGTTGATCAATTCACAAGTTACCGGCATTATCAACGGTCAGTTAGCCAATTATATAGACAGATACAACGCAGAACTAATTCGTCCATAAGTACACAAGCGAAGCTATACCCCTTGTCAGACAGACAGATAGATACAACATAAGTACATCAGTTCAAGTTGCCATACCACACACATCAGCACAGAAACGTAACTGTCAGTTCAAATCCAACAGTGATAGCAATAACAGAAGTATTAGTAGTAATGGAGAAGATCAGGGAGCGAAGATTTGATTCAAGAAGTATAATTTAGTAAGATAAATTTAGAAGGAGAAAGAGAGAGATGCTGAGGAATGCAGAAGCTTAGAATTTCATAGAACACAAAGAGTGGATGTACCTGCGCCATTGCAAACGATTCTGAGACATGCCATCCAAAGTCTCTAACCATCGGTGACTATCGTCTCGCGGACCCCAACCAGGTAGCCTACATCTACTAACATGACTCAGTCCACTTTTCAGTGACTTCATGGATTTGTGCCATGTTTTGGTTCGGCCGCCCCTAGATTTCTTCCAATCTACTCCTACACTGCAAAACATAGCTGAGTCAATCACAATGTAGAAATTAGTACGTGCGTACGTACGTGCATCAGTTCAAGTTGTCATACCGACATATTATCACACAGAGATGCAATTGTCAATTCAAATCCCATAATAGTAGTAGAGGTAGTAAAGGTATATTCGAAGTAATCGGATAGGTTAGGATTAGAAGATATTATTCAAGAAGTATGATTCAATAAGGTTAGAGAGTCGAAACTAGAGGTGTTGAAGAATCCAGAAGATTAAGATTTAAGAGAGAGACCACAAAAAATAAATGAACCGGCGCCATTGTACAGTACGGTACAGTACAATGACTATTTTTTAATTTCAAGTAGTCAAAATAAGAAAGGAAAACATTGAATCAAAACACAAACATGACACAATAATAATAATAATAATAATAATAATAGATACCAACCAGAAGACAAAGGAGGACTACTCCTTGAATTCTTTGAAATTGATGACATCAATCCAACAGATTGTGAATGGTGTTGTTGTTGTTGTTGTAACAGAGATGAACCACCACTGCCACTCCCACTATGCTGTGATGTTGTATTAATTGGTAAATTATTATTCATTGTTAACTTAGTATTAGTATTATTATTTTGACATCCTGGGGAAGACGAAGAAGAAGAAGAGGGCAAAAAACCGAACGTGAAACCAAATCAAATCAATTGTACGTACCATAAACAAAAAACTGAAATGTATTCATTGTCGACACATGGACAAGACTGTTCAATTAAATAGACACGTACTAATTAATGTGTGCTTTTTGTACAGATTGATATGACTTAGATTTGAATTATATACACCTTACCTTGTATGAAAATACCCGAACGAAGCTGCTACCTTGACGTGGTGGTCGAGCTTGCCTATCGTGATGATCCAACCGAACTATATTGGCTGGAACATATGTTCATGAAGGTTCTACTACCATGTCAGGCAGGTCGATTGGAGAATGATCAGACCAAAAGCAGCTACCCAAGGTCTGAGGGTGAAGTCGTATTGCTGACTGACTGCAGAGGGGTGTGACAGCAGTAAAGTGTTTCCCTCGGACAACCAGCATCTGCAGCGATGCTGCCTTCTCACAAGGAAGGAAGGAGTTAGAAAATGTCGACCCTAAAAATGTCACACCTCACCCTACCTCACAGATTTCCGTCTCTGGCGGTAAGGGTGCCCACTAAGGGCTTTTAAGAGCGGAGCTAATACTAAAAAGCCCTTTATAACAATACCGTCCGTGACCTGCCTCAAGCAGTTGTTCCTTGGACCCTGCGGTCACGCAACCAGGTCGTTAAGACCAACACTAATCTATCTTCCTTTTCAGGTCCCTCAAGAAACATCCTTCCACGGTGTGGGCAGCCGGGAAGTGATAACCGCCCTCATACCCGCAATAGCACACTCTTTGAGCTCTCTCAAATCCTAATCTTCTGGATTCGTCAGTACCTCTACCTTCGTCTTTGTAACCTTATCTCACTGAATTATACTTTTTGACTAATATCTTCAAACCGTCTAGTCTTCTTCATTACCAATAATACCTCTACTATCTCTACTATCACTATGGGATTTGATTTGACATTTGCGTCTCTGTGTGCTAATGTGGTGGTATGGTAACATGAACTTATGTACCTACGTACGAAGTTCTACGTTGCAACTGACTGACTGTATAAAACTGAATAACATTATCTACCAAACTGTTCAAATTATAAAAAACGCCTAAAAAATTTACCATTTGCAAGTTTCAAGTTCAGTCAGTACTTTCGGGTATTGAGACATATTTGTGATGGAGTTTCATTTTTCTGAACTGAATATTTTGGTGTTGGAGCGTCGATTGTTCTTCTTCTGAACACAATCATCATCATCATCATCATCACAGTCGACATAAACTTCAGGTAGAGAGAAGTGAAGTATTCGAATTTCTCCAGCAGTCAAGATTGAAGTTAACAGGACAAGCTACGAGTTATACGTGGAGAAATTCGATTATTTTACTTATTCACCTAAAGTTTGTTCTGAGGATCATGTTATTCAGAAGAACAAAGGAAAGCTTCAAAAGTAAAATATTCAGCTCACAGAGCAAAACTCCATAACAATTATTATGCTCGTCTCTAGGTATGCTTAAACTATTACGAGTTCACCTTAGTCGAATAATCAGAACTAAACAATGAACCAGTGTCCAGGTAGGCGGCTATTGTGATCCCTTGACCAAATTGTACCAGCAAGAAGTCTTGATATAGTGTAGAATGTGTATTCTACAAACACCCAACAATGAATCCAAGCACTCGAATTGTGTTTATTTATACTCTATAGAGACGTCCCTGGCAGAGTCACAAAATAGCACACTAAAATAACACAGTAACCAATCAAAGCCAAGGATTTTCCTGGTGGGAAATGTGATCTCAAGGTCAACTGATCGGCCAATGAACAGAATCCAAAATAAAGATATAATTTATCAAGCGAGTTCTGGGGATCTATCATCCCCAACAACAAAAGCAGATGTTACGCCTGCACGTAAACACATCGTTTTGATATGCTTGAATTATTACGAGACTTGATATGAACTAGAACCTGTATTCTACAACCATTCAGAAAGTACGAGGTCCGAGTCCAGAAGAGAATCAAGATCACGGACTATGACCGGATCCTGGTCATAAAACGTTACACATAATGCATATTTATACATTTTGGTCGAATAGGAAACAGCACCGAAGTCTGTGACATTGACAGTTACGACAACGACCAATAGGAAGCAACATTTGAAGTGACATTGATAGTCAGGATAACCAATAAGAAACAACATTGGAGCACGTGAGATTGATATCTAGGACGATCATAAAATTGACTAGTAGGAATTAACCAATAGGAATTGACCAATAATTCTCTTAGGATATTAGATGAATATCCTAACAGTAGAGGTGTTAACGAATCCATAGAACATAAAGAGTGGGTGCACCTGAGCCAATGCAAAAGGGGATGTTAGGGGGAAGGATGTAGGAAAGATTCGACTATGACCGATTAGATCTCGTGTGTTGTTACAGGTATGAGGGAGGTTGTCACTATTCCCGGTTGCCAACACCGTGAATACATGAAACAATCGTAATCAATAGTTTGAGACTTTGAATGATATATGGCACAGTCAAACCATTCCAAAACCTCTGTGTGTGTTAATGTGGTATGGCACCTAGGACTGATGTATAAAGTTCTATGCTGTAGCTAAGCTAAGCTGAGACTGTGATACCGAATATCAAAGAGGCGTACTGTTTACAGATGTATTGATCTTTCCCGTATTTCATGTCAGAAAAAAGAATTTTGAACTTTTTAGAACATTGAACTTTGGATTATTTCAATCAACTGACTGTCATGTCATGCTGTTTTTTAGGCGAAATAATCACTTAGTGGTGGTAGTTAGTAGTTAATAAGTTAACGGAGTCAGTTCAGTTGACATAACACAACACACACCATTAAAAATGAAACACAGAAACAGTGTGAAAAATATTCGTTTTTCATTCAATCACATAAATCACCTTTAGAAGTATACACACATAGGTATCATGTGTCAACAGTATAAAAACTGGTTACCAAAAAATTATTGTCATTATCACACTCACGATGGTTGTCATGGTTACATGGGGGTAAACACACATATAAACACACAAACACACTACGAAATTTGTACATAAAAAGATAATCAATACATCAACTCTTGTAATCGAAGTAATAATAATCATAATCATAATGACCATTAACCCAAAAAGACCTTTGGCACTGTTAAACAATGAGACCATAATGCTACATTTCTATGTGTGTTTGTTTGTGTGTGTGTGTGTGTGTGTGCGGGGGATACGATTATTGAACTATAACTAAAAGAATGAACCTCAATATGACTACTACTACTACTACTACTGACTGACTGGATGACCGGGATACTACTACTATTGATCAAAGTTGCAAAAAAATATTCCATTCAGAGAGTGTATAGGATTACGTTTTTTTTTCTGTTTAAATCGTTGACGAAAAAAAAAGAGATGACAGTTGATGTAAAAAAAAAGTTTTTGAAACCATGAATCGATCAATGTTAGACCACCATTAGAAGAAAACGGGAAGCATTGGACGGTGGCCGCTTCGTCCTGGTATGGGACTCATCAGTGACAGTGCACATCCACGACTCCTGCAACCCGCAGGATTCGAACCCAGGACCCTCAGTATTATGCGCGAACTCCCTAACCATCGGACCACTGAGCCGGTTTCTAACGGTGTTCATGTCTCACTTCGATCAATTCGCGAAGTTGTGCAACCTCATACACACTCTTTGGTAGACATTGCCTACACCCGAACAGGTTGAACTTCACTGGTCACACAACTTCCCACTAGAACTCGGAGAAGATTCCTCACCAAGTTAGTCATTAGTGAGCACAGGTAATTTGCATTACGGGGTTGTTGTTAAGATTGTTAAGTTACACATACCAGGACGAAACGGCCGTCTAGTGCTTCTTCCAGGTTTCTTCTAATGGTGGTCTAACATTTCAATTCGAAGGAAAAGTAGTTCAAAAGTTGTTTATATTGTTATTGTACAATGAGGAACTTGAATGAAATAGCTTTGAAATCGTTTGCAATGATGCAAAGGTATCCATACTTTGTGTTCTCTCCACTACTTCTAGACTTCAGGATTGTTCGCTACTTTTATCCGTCTGTTTTTAAGTTTATTTCACAAAATTCTACTTCTTGAATAAATAATATCTTCGAACCCTAATCTTTTCCAATTACTGCTAATACTTTTACTAACTCTACTACTACTATGAGATTTGAATTTGACAATTGCAGCATCTGTGTGTGCTAATGTTGTGTTAGTTATGGCGATGTGAACTGATTGCTGTACGTACGTAGTAAAATATTCATTCAGGATCGTGACGAGTGATTGATTGTGCATTCTGCAGATGTTTCTGTACGTGTTCTATGCCATGGATGAAACGTTTGCTGGCATTTCTGGACGTCTATAGACTTTTCCAAAGGATACTTCACAGCTAACCAACAACTAAACAATCCGCAAATAAGATTTAGTCATGCCAAACTTTTTACGATACCTTCTTTAAGAGCTCGCCGTCTATGATAGTTAAGTATTGTGGGCAGATGGCTAGATGGCTAAACTCTAATATTGTTATGCGTGATGAACTATGATTCAGTATTTCGCATACTATTGAAATCATGAATCGATCAATGTTCGACCAACACTGTAAACCTGGAAGCAATGGAAGGCCTTTTCATCTAGATATGCGATTCATCAACGAACTCGCAAACGAGACTCGAGCCTAGGAAATTCAGTATCACATGAGAAGGCTTCAACTCTTGAAAAAATTAATCAACATCAGTCAGTCAGATGCGACGTAGAACTTTGTACATAAGTACATCAGTTCATGTCGCCATACCACATCAGCACAGAGATATAATTGTCAATTCAAATCCAGTAGTAAAAGAGGTAGTAAAGGTGTATTCGAAGTAATCGGAGAGGTTAGGATTAGAAGATATTATTCAAGAAGTATGATTCAATCAGATAAGGTTAGAAAGACAAAACTAGAGGTGTTGAAGAATTCAGAAGATTAGGATTTGAGAGAACACAAAGAATAAATGCACCGGCGCCATTGCAAACGGTTTTGAGCCATGTCATTCAAGATCTCTAACCATCGATTATTATCATCTCGCGGACCCCAACCAGGTAGTCGACAACTACCGACATGACTCAGTCCACTTGTCAGTGACTTCACGGATTGCTTCCATGTTTTGGTTTGGCCACCCCTAACTTTCTTCCAACCTATTCCTACACTACAAAACAAAGCTCGTCGAGGCAGTCGGTGGTTAGGCATACGCAACACATGTCCCAACCACCTCAAATGATGAAGTTTCACCACTTCATCTATTGATCTGCCATCCTTACCTAGAACTTGTTTCCTAACGACAGCATTGCTTACTCGGCTGTCCCACGGTATACGAGCAATGCTTCGAAGACACCTATGATCGTAAACCAATAACCCACGAATATCTTCTACTGTCACTGGCCATGTTTCACAGCCATATAGGAGAACGGAGCGAACTACTGCGCAGTACATTCGTCCTTTAGTCAGCAAACGGATATCACGCCTACGCCATAAGTAACGCAGGTTGGCAAAAGCCAATCGAGCCTTCTCTATCCGAGCTGAGATTTCGTCAGTCACCAGGCCATCGGCATCCAAAAGTGTTGATGTTTCATTTCAATCAATCCACGATATTGCGCGACCATCATCCATTGTGTTTAGTGTTTATGATCATGCATGACAAGTCAAAAATATGAACTTCAAAACTCTTCCATAAATCCATTTCCATTCGGAAAAATTATAGTAGGACAGAAACGGAAATGTCAAATCGGATATAACAGGAAAGCTTTATTGACATATTTTAACTCGAACGATCATACACACACACACACACTCAGTAGTATCATAAACATTGACACCAGTAGAAAATGCACAGTTTAAATTCAAGTACACAAAAACTGTATCTTTACAGAACATTTTCGGGTGAATAAAGACAGCATTGAGTTTCTGTGGCAGTATTTGTTCTAATATGAAGTCAGTGAATCTACCAAACATTTTCTCAATAAAACTAACTCAAACGAAACTGTATACATATGCTCAGTAAGTAAGTGACTACTAGCTTTGTGAAGAAATTTCGCCGAATTCGACTAGTGAGAAGTTGTGACTGGTGGAGTTCCACCGTGTTCTGGTGTGAACCGGTGTTCACCGAAAAACACAGTGGATAATGTTGCGCAAGACAAGTAGGTGAATCGAAGTAAGGAAATTGACACCGTCAAATACCGGCTCAATCGTCCAGAGGTTAGGCGCGTTTGAGAGCAAGACCGAAATTACAGGAATCGTGGACACGTGCTGTTGATGAGTCTCATACCAGAATGAAACAGCCATCTCGTGCATCCAGGTTTTTAATCAATCAATTAATCAATAAAAAAGAAACTAACCTGATTCAATAGGTTGTGATACTGGAGACACTTGACTTAAATCTGTATAAGCTGAAGAATCCGCATCAGTATCTTGATCTCTTAGATCATTGTCATAGTCATAATCACCGACGTCATCACCCACGTTGTCTTCGTCATCATCACCATTCTCATTAATATGCCCATTAGAATGATGATAACCATTTAGGAGATATTGATTTTTCGATAACATTAAAGGAGTAGTTGATGTAGATGTAACACATCGTTGATTATGATGACCGTTTATTTGATGATTAGGATAAACGTTTATTGATGAACAATGAACTTGTGTAGAGGATTGTTGCTAGATTAGATAGATAGATAGATAGATAGATAGATAGATAGATAGATAGATAGATAGAGAGGATGAAAGATCATTTCATTGAGAAATCGATGAAGGGAACTCGTTATTATTATTATTATTAGTTTGACAGTTGAAATCACAAACTGATCACTAAGTTCAAAGGATCTGTGTACGACGCACTGCTGAAGAGTTCCATGCCTAGGACGAAACAGCTTCCTAGGGGTTGATGGCAGATATTTCTAATGCTGTTTTCTGGCTTAAAACAATTCGTGATTTCAACTGTGCATATAAATATATCTACATAAATCATGCTTCTTTAATATAACATGCAATTATTCCAGCGATGTAAGGGTAATGTGTTTATATCTCTTCAAGGAAAAATAGAAAGTATGAGATAAATTAAGAACTTAAACGTATACGCTAATTCACCCGTTCATCGCATGCATATATAAACATATATGTATAGGGAAAATGTAGAGAATCAATCATATTGCTCAAAACATACTTCAGAATTCTCCTCTTCTTCTGATAAGATCTGTGTACAAGATCAAATCAAAAAAGAAGTTATCATTTCGATGTAACATAAAAGAAAAAAACACTGTGTTGAACAGTAAAGAAAAATAATTCTTACAGCATTAAACAATAAACACAAAGTGTGGTGCGAGCTACTTATGAGTAGTATATGACGCGAGTGTAAACGTAATAATGTCTGGCAACAGAAGATGAGGGAAGATCAAGAAAGGGAGGAAGAGTGGGAACACAATGGAATTTGTATGAAACGCATGAATAAGTGAAATGTCAGACAATAGATTGATGATGGATTGAAGATTTGCAAATTAACGATTTACGATATGGTTTTCAGATTATGCCCTAGTGCGAGCGCGTATTTGTTTGAAGCTTACTGGGCGTAGGAAAGACGCCGTAAGAAAGCCTCTTAGGGTCTTACTTAATGATAATAAGGCGAAAAATATATTTCAGGAACAACTAGAAAGACAGTTAGGCGACCAGTTAAGCGAATCCCATCCGGAGGCAGGTTGGAATGATATCAAAAAGGCTGTGGAAACAGCAGTGATATCTGCTAGTAAGGTTGACCATAAGGCTAGAATGAAGCCGTGGATCTCAGTAGCATCCACCGATCTGATGGATGCCCGAAAACTCATCCCACCTGGCTCTGAACATGATGAAGAATGAAGTCAACTTAGGCGCAGACTTATAAAAAGCCTACGTAACGACCGCGAACAGTGGTGGGTGGCGAAAGCAAAAGCGATGGAAAAGGCAGCGGCGATAGGCAACACTAGACAACTTTTCCGTCTTATTAAAGAAACTGGTATTAAGAACTCGAATGTGAGTGAGACTATCTCGGAAAAGGATGGTCTAATTATCCATCCTCAATCCAGGAGACTGGATCGATGGGCTGAACACTTTAGGGATCAGTTCAACTGGCCACGAGCCACTCTTCGGTTACCCATGATCTCCAGTCATCCTGAATGGCAAGTCGACGTAACCCCCCTAGTCTTAATGACGTTGAGAAAGCGTTAGGAAATCTGAAGCGAGGACGAGCTGCAGGTCCTGATAGACTGACCCCTGACATATTTAAGGATGTTGGTTCAGTTTTAGCAGCTAGGTTGACTGATATCTTTGGTAGAATCTGGGAACTGGACGTAATCCCATCCGACTGGTCTCAATCCTTGATTGTCCCAATCTATAAGAAAGGACAGAAGTCTTCTTGTGACAATCACAGGGGAATAAGTCTAACTAATATAGTATCTAAAATTTTGGCCTCTTTACTACCCCTTCTACGATTGGATTTGAATTGACAATTACATCTCTGTGCTGTCATTTATTTTTCCAGAAACACACGAGCGGATCTCAATGAAGTATGCAGAACCAACCAACCTAATCCACGTTATGCAATGATACCAGACTAAAACATAGCAGAAATCCAAGTGACTGACAAGTAGAATCATATTGGTAGGCGCAGACTATCCGGTTGAGATTTGCGTAACAAGAGCAACCAGTGGTTAGACACTCTGAATGACATGCCTCAATGGTGCATCCATGTTTTGTGTACTCTAAAATCCTAACCTTCAGAGTTCCCCATCACCTTTATCTTTCTCTGATTTAAAATTTATTTCACTGGTTTCTACTTATTGAATAATATCTTCGAACCCTAATCTGTCTAATTACTGCTAATACTTCTACTATCTCTACTACAATGAGATTTAAATTGACATTTGCATCTCTGCGCTAATGTGATATAGTAACTTCAGCTGATGTACATACGTATCAAGTTCTACGTTGCAGCTGCCTAACTAACTGTTTTATATGGTTTGAGTTGTTAAGATTGAAAGATTAAACATCACGGTAGAATTCAACATTTAAACCGTCAAGCCCGACCGTAGCTACTACCTTGACGTGGTGAACAAGCCTGCCAATCGTGATGATCCAACCGAGCTGTACTGGCTGGAATGTATGTTGCTGTAGGTTCTACCATGCCAGGCTGGTCGATTGGAGAACGATCAGACTAAAAGCAGCTACTCAAGGTCTGAGGGAGAAGTCGCGATGCTAACTGACTGAGGAGGGGTGTGACAGCAGTAAGGTGTTTCCCTCGGACAACCAGCATCTGCAGCGATGCTGCCTTCACACAAGGAATGAAGGGTTAGAAAAGGTTGACCCTAAAATTGTCACACCTCACTCTACCTCACGGATTTCCGTCTCCAATGGTAAGGGTGTCCACTATGGGCTTTTAAGAGCGGAGTTAATACTCAAAAAACCTTTCATAAAAAGGCCGTGCGTCACCGGCCTCAAGCAGTTGTCCCTTGGTCTCTGTGATCACGCTCCCAGGTCTCCAAGACAAACACTAATCTATCTTCCTTTTCAGGTTCCTCAAGAAACAACCTTCCACGGTGTGGGCAGGTGGGAAGTGACAACCGCCCTCATACCCGTTACAGCACACGAGACCAATTACTGCTAATACTTTTACTACCTCTACTACTATGAGATTTGAATTGACATTTGCATCACTATGCCGATGTGGTATGGCAACCTGAACTGATATACGTACATACGTACGACGTTCTACATAGTTGCTGACTACTGACTCACCGAGTGATGCCATTCGATATTTTTGGCTAACTTGAAATTTTCTTCTAACCCATATACTAACCACCACCAGCACTCATCATCATCATCATTAGCAGAGCAAACACAATTTAAAATTACTCAAAACCAAATTAATTAATTAATTCATTACCTGATTGAATTGTTCACGTAATCGCAACGCGAACTCTTCTAATTCTTGTGTTCTACAAGCTAATCGATTTAATTGTTTTGAATTGGCACGTAATTTACAATGATGACCCGATTTTCTTGGCCTCAAATCATCATCATCATCATCATCATTATTGTTCAATTCCTCTTGTTGCGTAATCGATGGATGATATTTTAACTTGCATGAATCATCATTGAAATGATCACGATGATGTTGATGAGGTGGAGGAGGTAATTTACTTTTAACTGATGATGAATAATTGACGCCGTTGACGTTGTCGTCGACATCATCACCATCATTATCCGGTTCATCATCTTGTATATAATCTTCCCAATCTTCCAATGAATCACTACGACATCGTTGATGATTCATTTTTAATCGATTATTACTACGACGATGATGATCATCGTCATCATTATCATCACAAACATCGGCGTTATGATTACCGTTGGGTATGGATGTAGGGAAATATTGATGATGATGATGATGATTGCGCAACATTATTGGTGCACTTTTTCGACTATGATTTAAATGTTCAATTGATTTTTTACACTGAGAATTTTGTTGTTTTAATGAATTCACTAAAATTCGTGTTGTTTCTAATTCACGTTGTAAATCGGAATTACGTTCTGCGACACGAGTACGTTCTGCTTCTAAACGACGACATTCAAATGTTGTTTCAATTAATTGTTGCTAGTGGAAGTATAGGATAGGAGAGTTTAGAAAAAAAATATTTATTAAGGCCAGTGTAGTAGAAATTAACAGTTTACGGTTATTATTTTATTGGTAAAGTGATATGTTTACACTTACTAAGTGATTGAGACAAGCCTTACCTGAACAAAATCTGCTTACTGCTTATTGTTGAGTTAATCAGTATAGATGATCATGTCAGTTCGGTGTAATTTTAGTACTTTTAATTTCAAATGTGTGAAAAATCGCAAACCTCCAAAACTATGCCCCAAAATATCGTAACAGTGCTCACTAGTGACTAGCTTCGTGAGGAAATTCTCGGAGTTCTAGTTGAGAAGACGTGACTAATGGAGTTCAACCCTGTCAAGTGTAGGCAGTAACTACCAAAGACAAAAGGGTGAGGTCGCGCAAAATCTCTAGATCAATCAGAGTTAAACGTGAACACCATTGGATGCCGGCCCAGTGGTCCGATGGTAAGGCGTTCGCCTACAATGCTAAGGGTCCCGGGTTCGAATCCTGCGAGGAGCAGGAGTCGTGGATGCGCACTGCTGATGAGTCCCATACCACAACGAAACGGCCGTCCAGTGCTTCCAGGTTTCTAATGGTGGTCTAACAATGATTGATTGATGATTTCAAATGTGTAAAAAATCACAAACCTCCAAAACTGTGCCCCAAAATTTCAGAATGCTTAAAAATGTGTATAGAATGATATTAGCCTAAGATATTAAACCTTAGTAATTTAGGGGCAGCTTTTTAAACTTTCAGAGATATTCTCCTATAATTCGTTGATTAGTTGATATATGCTCGTCAAACATATGCTTGAATGTTATGACAAGTTCCCGTTACTGGGAAAAATGATGCAGTGACACGATAGGTTATTCTAATCTATTTGTTCCCGGACCGGCTAACTATAAGTAAGAAGTCTTGATAAAAGGTGTAGAAAGTATATCCCCTAAAAGCACCCAGAAAATATAAGGTTAACAAGCACACAAATCAAGCTTATTTAGACAATGATTGTAACTCCCTTGGGGGAGTCACAAAAATAGCGTACTAAAATAATACACCAACCATTGACAGTCAAGGATTTTCCTGGTAGGAAATGTAATCTCAAGATCAACTGAGCAGCAATTCAAAATTACGACCTATTCCAAGTGAGTTCTAGGGAGATAACTTCCCCAACATTAGTGCATTATCAAGGCGGATATCTGTTCCGATTATAGAACGAAAATCTGCTTGTGGTCATGTCAACAACAACAACGAAACACAGCATTGGTAAGCCAAATTTTTAATCAGTAATCGTTTGACACAGCAGATCAGCCTGATGAACCCAAAAATAGCCAAATGTTGGAAGCAACCAAGTAAACCAATGTGCATTAGCCCTTCATAGATTCTGGTGAAGCGGAGAGTGGAGACAGTCCACTCTAACTCTAAAAATGCTTTCACATGTAGCAACTGTAAGAGAAGTCCAACACATCTCATTCTCGTGACACAGGGTGTTGATTACGAAATTCAGAGGACGAAAAGCGGATACGGAGAATCCACACAGAGCGAGGAGTTGGAAAACCCCTGATTACAAACAAATCAACGGTGCACATTGGCTCCATGAATCTCATAGTATAAATGGTATATGAACCTATTGTTAATTACCGGCTACTACTATGAGACTACAACTCCTGACTGCCTTAGTCAAACACTCGGGTGAGCAGCCTTCTAAGAAAACTACCTACTTCAATTCAGTCACCCAAAGGGTAGCCGCCATGTCCACACACATACACATAAAACTGATTGATTTTGAGCAGCATTACTCTTGTATTAATCTAACCACATTACATTATCATACAATGGGTCATTATAACGATTTATTAAGTAGCATAGATGAACTAATGAAGCTTCATCAGTTGAGGTGGTTGGGACATGTGCTGCGGCGTATGCCTAACCACCGACTACCTCGTCGAGCTTTGTTTTGAAGTGTAGGAATAGGTTGGAAGAAAGTTAGGGGCGGCCAAAACAAAACATGGCAGAAATCCATGAAGTCACTGCCAAGTGGACTGAATCATGTTGGTAGATGTAGGCTACCTGGTTGGGGTCTGCGAGACGAAAGTAAACGATGGTTGAATGACATGGCTCAAAATCGTTTGAAATGGCGCTGGTGCATTTATTCTTTGTGTTCTCTCAAATCCTAATCTTCTAGATTCTTCAACCCCACTAGTTTTTACTTTCTAAACTTTTCTCATTTAATCATACTTCTTGAATAATATCTTCTAATCCTAACCTCTCCGATTACTTCTAATACCCTTACTACCTCTTGCATTGAATTGAAAAGGAAAGGTCCGCCCATTAATTAAACACAAAAAAGAGGGGGTACACATGTGGTGCGAGCTACTTATAAGTAGTAGTATATGACGTGAGTGTCAACGTAATAATGTCTGGCAGCACAATATGGGGGAAGATCAAGAAAGGAAGAGTTAGAAGAACACAATGGAATTTGTATGAAACGCATGAATAGTAGTAACAATGGATTGATGTTTTTTGCAACAGGAACAGTCCAGTTCGATAGGATGAACTGATATTTTGCAAATTAACAACGGTTTATGATATGGTTTTCCAATTTTACTGAGTAACTCTGTAATTTTCGGTAAATACAATTCGGTTGCCCTCACCAGTGTTCTTGTTCACTACATTTGGTGTCGCTGCCAGGATCGAAGGAAGGAGCTCCCGTGTCCGAAGGACGGATATTGGCGGAGCTTCCTGGAGGAGTTTTGAGGCCACGGTGGAGATCGTGGCTGTGAAGAGGCCCCTGGCGAAGTTGGTGGTGCTGGGGACGCTGCATGAAGGTGAGGCGAAGTCGGTATACGACAGCCTGGACGGTGCCGCCGGGAAGACGGCGTGGGAGACGGTCACCGGGCGGCTGATGACGGAGTTCGACGGCCCGGTGGACAGGGAGAAGGCGCCGCAGAGGTTCCGGTTGGCGATGCTGTCGGCTGATGGTGACCCGTTGGTGCTGGCTGTAGAGCTCACGATGTTGCTGCGCCGTACGCTGCCGAGTATGGATAGGGGTCGGGGGCACAGTTGTTGGCGTCGCAATTTATCGGGAGTGCGCCTGTCCCAGCAGCGGGAACTAGTAAACGCTACACGTTGGATAGACGCCGTATCCATTCCAGACCAGCGGGCAAGAACAATGACCGAAGTAGTAATCCGGCATATGGTAGCGCGTCACGAAATACGGAAGATGATATTAACTGACAAGGGTCCCTGTTTTGAAGGTGACGACAGCTTTTTAAAAGGCGGGACGAGTGTGGCGCGCGCTACTTATAAGTAGTATATGACGCGAGTGTAAACGTAATGTCTGGCAACAGACGATGGGTGAAGATCAAGAGAAAGGAAGAAGAGTCGGAACACAATGGAATTTGTATGAAATGCATGAACAGTGAGTGAAATGTCAGACAATGGATTGATGATAGCTTGAAGATTTGCAAATTAACAACGGTTTACGATATGGTTTTCCGATGATTTTACTGAGTAACTCTGTAATTTTCGTTAAATACATAATTTGGTTGCCCTCACCTCTGTGTTCTCCTTCACTACACACAGTTTAAAATAATTGAACATTTACACAACTAACTACACATATGAATTAAATTGAGGTCTTATTTCTTTTTTTAAAAAAAAAAGTATAAAATAATTATCCTATTATAACAATATCATCACATGACACAATCAGTGTCACACAGTGTTATTATACATTTACATATACACATATGAGAGGCAAAGAGAGAGCGAGAGAGAGAGAGATTGATACCTGTCAAATCGAATGGAAGCATGCTTTGATGAATGAATCGTGAATAAATTAAAACAGATAATAATTATAAATATCGATCCATGTTCAACTATCATTGACAACTTGAAAAGTATTAGAGTGATTAGATTAGTAGTAAGTGAAATCTTGCTGTTCTAATGCAATAACCATGATGAGTGTGGGACAGTTACCCGCTTCCATCAAGGAAAATGAATGATGATTGAGAGACACTGACTCAGTTAGTTGTCTAGAAGATAAGCATTTGTGCGGGAGACTAAACGTTCTGGGTTCGATCCATGTGGATGAACACTGATTAGCCTCATATTCTAGGAGGAGACGACTGTTCAGTGCTTTCAGGTTCATTATTTCAATGAAGAAGAATAATAGACAGACAGACAGATACAACTCAGAGCTTCGTACGTAAGTACATCTGTTCAGGTTGCCATACCATATCAGAACAGAGATGAAACTGTCAGTTTAAATTCAAGAGTGATAGCAAAAATAGAAGTATTAGAAGTAATGGAGAAGATTAGGGAGCGAAGATTTGATTCGAAAAGTATAATTTAGTAAGATAAATTTAGAAACAGAAAGATAGAGATGATGAGGAATTCAGAAGCTTAGAATTTCATAGAATACAAAGAGTGGATGCACCTGCACCATTGCAAACGATTCTGAGCCATATCATCCAAAGTCTCTAACCATCGGTGACTATCGTCTCGCGGACTCCAACCAGGTAGCCTACATCACTTTTCAGTGACTTCATGGATTTGTGCCATGTTTTGATTTGGCCGCCCCTAACTTTCTTCCAATCTACTCCTACATTGCAAAATATAGCTCGTCGAGGCAGTCGGTGGTTAGCCATACGTAACACATGTCCCAACCACCTCAACTGATAAAGTTTCAGCACTTCATCGATTGATCTGCCATCCTAACCTAGTACTCGTTTCCTAACGACAGCATTGCTTATACGGTTGTCCCAGGATATACGAGCAATGCTTCGAAGACACCTATGATCAAAGACTAGTAACCTACGGAAGTCTCTCATCCGTACAGTAGGACGGAGCGAACTGCTGCACAGTACACTCGTCCTTTATTCAGCAAACCGATATCACGCCTACGCCATAAGTGACGGAGGTCGGCAAAAGCCAGTCGAGCCTTCTGTATTCGTACCGAGATTTCGTCACTCACCAGGCCATCAGCACTGATGAGACTCCCAAGATAAGTGAGGCGATCTACACGTTCGACCACTTCACTCCCTATCACTAGTCTCGTCGTTCTCCAGTCGACCTGCCTGGCACGGTAGAACCTTCAGGAACATATGTTCCAGCCAGTATAGCTCGGTTGGGTCCTGACGATAGGCAACCCCGACCACCACGTCAAGGTAGCAGCTACGGTCGGGCTTGACGGTTCCATGTGAGGGTTTGTCTCGTGATTCATTTGGTTGATTTTTACACTGTGTTTCCTAACCAACTTCAGATTTATTTGCACTTTTCCGGCTGCGATTGATTGCTGCCCCCTTCCATCTTTTTCTATCTCGAATCTTACCCAGTGTATCCACTGAGCAGCACCATTCGTTGTGATGGTGCTTCAAATCGCCCAGGTCCTCAATAACATTGGTGAGGGATTGTCTCCTTTATTTATTTTTCCAGTTGTTCTTCATGACAGATTCCTCTTCACTAGGTAGATTGTGAAAGGCGTGAAAGTAATTGGTGTGAGCTATCTTGAATTTGTAGAGTGTTTGATAATGTTATAAATCCTATTGTCCAGTAGTGCTCTTTTTCAGTTTCAGTTTTATCTTGGTCACTACTACTAAGTGATGATCTGAAGCCAAATCATCTCTGCTCCCTAGTCCTTCTGAACTTTTTATTGATACAAGTATGATTGATTTGGTTTTCTGTAGTGTGTCATCCAGTTAATCCGCGTGGCTTTGTGTATGCAGTAATGTGGGATTATGGTGTTGTTGCCCATGACCACCAACATCATAGGGTCGCTAACTCCCATGCCCAACTTTTCTCCTTTATGCTGGCAGTAACCTCAGAAGGTATCCAGGTGGAGTTGTTAATTATCTGTACACACCTACTCTCTTTGCATATGGGTGATTGAACATCGAAGTTTCAATGGCTATGATGCATTTGTCTCCGCATCTGATGATTTAATCCTAATTGGTATCGTTAGTTCAATTGCTATTATTCTTCTTAATAACAGAAGAATAATAACAAATGAACTAACGACACTTGTGGTTCTCACTCTCGAAATGCAAAATGTTGCTTCCAGGTTGGGTTTCATTGGCACCTGAACTAGTGATAGGGAGTGAAGTGGTCGAACGTGTAGATCGCCTCACTTATCTTGGGAGTCTCATCAGTGCTGATGGCCTGGTGAGTGACGAAATCTCGGTACGAATACAGAAGGCTCGACTGGCTTTTGCCGACCTCCGTCACTTATGGCGTAGGCGTGATATCGGTTTGCTGAATAAAGGACGAGTGTACTGTGCAGCAGTTCGCTCCGTCCTACTGTACGGATGAATCACGAGACAAACCCTCACATGGAACCGTCAAGCCCGACCGTAGCTGCTACCTTGACGTGGTGGTCGGGGTTGCCTATCGTCAGGACCCAACCGAGCTATACTGGCTGGAACATATGTTCCTGAAGGTTCTACCGTGCCAGGCAGGTCGATTGGAGAACGACGAGACTAAAAGCAGCTACCCAAGGTCCGAGGGCGAAGTCGTACTGCTGACTGACTGAAGAGGGGTGTGACAGCAGTAAGATGTTTCCCTCAGACAACCATCATCTGCAGCGATGCTGCATTCTCACAAGGAAATAAGTGTTAGAAAAGGTCGACCCTAAAAATGTCACACCTCCCCTAACTCACAGATTTCCGTCTCTGGCGGTAAGGGTGCCCACTAAGGGCCTTTAAGAGCGGAGCTAATACCCAAAAATCCTTTCATAAAAAGGCCGTGCGTGACCGGCCTCAAGCAGTTGTCCCTTGGACTCTGCGGTCACGCAACCACGTCTGCAAGAACAACACTAATCTATTTTCCTTTTCAGGTCTCTCAAGAAACAACCTTCCACGGTGTGGTCAGCTGGGAAGTGACAACCGCCCACATACCCGTAACAGCACAGAACCGTCGAGGACATGAGGTAGACTAAGGAACACATTGAGCTGAAGAACTACAGACAGACAAGAAATAAATGAGTAGGGAATTGAGAACAAGTTTGAAACGAGATTGGAAGACAGAGTTGGTTAGAGATTGCTAGTCGGCGGCGAGAAAGCAAGCGTAGGTGAGTGAATAAGTAAGCAATATCAAGCAGCCATGAGTCTGTTTGGGATGTAAGATCCCCAAAATTCGCTTGATAAATGCCTTATTTTTGGTTTTCACGTTCGCCAGCATGGGCTGATCAGTTAACCTTGAGGTTTCATTTCCCACCCCAGGAAAATCCATGTCTGTGTGATTGGCTGCTGTGTATTTTAGTGTGTGTGCTATTTTCTTAACTTTCTCAAGGACGTTTCTATGATGTTGGGCGGCGAGAAAGCAAGCGTAGGTGAGTAATTAAGTAAGTCAGTCAGTCAGTTGCAACGTAGAACTTTGTACGTAAGTACATCAGTTCATGTCGCCATACCACATCAGCACAGAGATATAATCGTCAATTCAAATCCAATAGTAGTAGAGGTAGTAAAGGTATTAGAAGTAATCAGAGAGGTTAGGATTAGAAGATATTATTCAAGAAGTATGAATAAATGAGAAAAGTTTAGAAAGTCAAAACTAGAGGTGTTGAAGAATCCAGAAGATTAGGATTTCAGAAAGAACACAAAGAATAAATGCACCGGCGCCATTGCAAACGATTTTGAGCCATGTCATTATTCAAGGTATCTAACCATCGATTATTATCATCTCGCTAACCCCAACCAGGTAGGTAGTTGACAATTACCGACATGGCCACTCGTCCACTCGTCAATGACTTCATGGTTTTGTGCCAAGTAAGTAAGTAATAACAAGCAGCCCATGAATCGCAAACAAAAACATCCACCATTCAAACACCCACACGCACACTCACACGCACACACATAAAAAGATAAAGACAAAAAGTACAAAAGTACAATTTTACTGAACTTACATTCAACGAATCAATTTGTTTTACATAATTCATACATGCTGTATCAAATTCCATTTTAGTCTCATCATGATTAGCAGACGAATGTTGAGTATTTTGTTCAATTGATAAATTGCAATTAGTTTGTAATAATCTTCTATGTTGACGTTGTAATTCACGATATTCTTGTTCAATTAAAATCCAATTTTGTTGATGACGATTACTTAGAGTAGTTTGATAAATTAATTTCTCTTTTGTACATTGTAATTCGCTTTCCTTAATAAGTAAGAAAAAAATAAATTAAATTGACATGTTCACTTGACATTAAAGAGAAATGAACTAGTAGTGATAGTAGTAGGGAGTGAAGTAGTCGAACGTGTAGACCGCTTCATTTATCTGGTGAGTCTCATCAGTGCCGACGGCCTAGTGACTGAAGAAATCTCAGCTCGGATACAGAAAGCTCGATTGGCTTTTGCCAACCTGCGTCACTTATGGCGTAAGCGCGATATCCGTTTGCTGACTAAAGGACGAGTGTACTGCACAGCAGTTCGTTCCGTTCTCCTATATGTCTGTGAAACATGGAAGTTAAGAGTAGAAGATGTTTGTAGGTTGCTGGTATTCGATCATAGATGTTTAAGAAGCATTGCTCGTATATCGTAGGACAACCGAGTAAGCAATGCTGTCGTTAGGAACCGCGTACTAGGTAAGGATGGCAAATCAATAGATGAAGTGGTGAAACTTCATCAGTTGAGGTGGTTGGGACATGTGTTACGTATGCCCAATCACCGACTGCCTTGACGAGCTATGTTTTGTGATGTAGGAGTAGGTTGGAAGAAATCTAGGGGTGGCCAGACCAAAACATGACAGAAATTCACACTGACTAGTGGACTGAGTCATGTTGGTAGATGTAGACTACCTGGTTGGGGTCCGCGAGACGAAAGTCACCAATGGTTACAAACCTTGAATGACATGGCTCAAAATCGTTTGCAATGGAGCAAGTGCATCCATTCTTTGTGTTCTCTCTAATTCTTACCTTCTGGATTCGTTAGCACCTCCACCTTTATCTTTCTAACCTTATCTCACTGAATTATACTTCTTCAATAATATCTTCGAACCCTACTTTTCTTCATTACTATTAATACCTCTACTATCTTTATCACTATGGGACTTGATTTGACATTTGCGTCTCTGTGCTAATGTGGTGGTATGGCAACATGAACTTATGTGGATACGTACGAAGTTCTACATTGCAACTGACTGACTGACAAAGAGATGAAGAGAATGTATCAGTCAGTTCAAATGCAACGTAGAATTTTCTACGTAAAGTACATCAGTTCATACGTCCTTACATAAATAAGTTCAGGTTGCCATACCAGATTAACACACACAGAGATGCAATTGTCAATCCCGATCCCATAGTGGTAGAAGTAGTAGAAGTATTAGCAGTAAAAGAGAAGAAGATTAGGGTTCCAAAATATTATTCAATGAGATAAATTTAGAAAGAGAAAAATAGAGATGATGAGGATTTCAGAAGATTAAAAATTTCAGAGAACACACACAGAGTAGATACACCTGAGACATTACAAAACGATTTCGAGCGACCATGTCATTCAAGGTGTCTAACCATCGGTTGTATTTCACATACTTCTGACCAAATAATGAATTTTAATTCAATTTAAAATAGAAGGAAGAGATGTGGAAATTTGATCAGTCTTTGTCGGTGTACTGGGCGTCCTATGAGGATTGACTTGACTCTGTCGATCGTAAGGTAGTATTAATCACTGAAAGAAGTAACATGGAAGTGCATTAACCTTATGCAAGCTCTTTACTCGAACACTACTAGTCAAGTCAGGGTTTATGAAGAACTGTCATTGGAATTAGTTCCTTCCGGTAGTATTCGTCAAGGTTGTGCACTCTCATCATTTTTAGACAACTTTTTGATAGACATGCTTGTAAAGATAACACTTTCCCCTTCTAATTTTTCAGGAACAGAACATTTACCGGGAGATTCACTCAAAAGATTCACTTGTCAACTTAGAGTATGCCGATGACATAGTTTGATGATAAAATGCAGTCTTCTGACCAACTTGAGCAACGATGCATACATGTTTGGGATGCGATTCTCCCCCCCTTCCAAATAAAAAGTTGTTTATCCCAAATTCTAATCTTCTAAATTCCTTATGACCTTGATTTGTCTCTTTTTAAATTTCATTGGATTATACTTCTCGAATAATATCTTCAAACCTTAATCTTCCCCAATTTAAACTACATCTCGAAGGAACAGATAGTCATATGTCACTAACTAGTCTATCAAAAAAGACGTATTCAGTTAGGAAATTGATATGTTCGGATGCGCAACACCAAAAAAATGTAGTCGATTATTTTAAGTAGCCTGTAACTGAACTGAAATGCTTATGCAGTTTTAGCTAATGTCACATTCCTAGTGTTGTATTCTTATTCTTCTTACATCGTTTACGGAAAACGATTCTCTCTCAATATAGAGCTCGTCAGTAGTGAGCATCCACGACCCCAACAAGTGGGAATCGAACCGAGGACCTACAGTATCGGACACGAATGCTTAACCTGTTGACAACTAAGTCGGTGTGTCCAGTGGTGTCGAAGTTTAACTTTAATCGACCCACGAATTTGCGCGACCACCATCCGTTGTCATTGGTAGATAACTGCCCAATAAATGGAGTTCAATCATGTCAAGTGTGAGACAGTTAATATCATAATATCATCGATCGATAACAGCGATCCATTTAGTGTCTACAACCACCTACCGACATAAAACAAACTGTAGCGTAATCTCAAGTACTTTATATTAGCGAGTGCAATAAGACTTTATCGAATAGACAACATGAGTTTGACATTTTAACATAAAAACATCGAACCGAACAAATCACTAATTAAGGCGACGGACGACCTACGTATGCCCTAGTATGATCAAGAGAGAGGAGAATTCACTGTGTCCCTAAAAATGTTTTCATATGACCATACGTATATAACCACGGTCAAGGAAGTACTTTTCACAGAATCCTTGTGTCGGCAATGCTGTTTACCGAATTAAGAGGACGAGAAAAGAATGTCCGATCAACGCAAAGACAGGCTTGGTGGGTACGGAGGATCCATCTAGCATTGCAACTCCTAACAATGCTCAACTGTCTTGCGGATTAGACCATTTGGTCAGAGGTTTAAGGGAAAAATCATCTGCTTCGATCTGGTTACCCAGGCAATATCCATACATAAATATTAAGGTGCCCCGTACCTTGTACCAAGAATTGTGCTTAAACAAATAGCTTGTAAAAAAAAAGGTGATAACATACTGATACTGTTTGTATGATGCTTCAATTTTAATATGAGCATCTTATTAACAGGAGCAAAATTTTATACACTGAGATGTAGTAAATAACTTTTAGAATAATTAATCTCTCCGATTACTGCTCATAATTCTACTACCTCTACTACTATGGGATTTGAAGTGACAATTGCATCTCTCTGTGCTAATGTGTCGGTATGGCAACCCGTAACAGCACACGAGACCAAATTGGTCGAAATCAAATCCTTCCTACACCAACACACACCTCTCTCTTCTCTCCACAACTAACTCTTCTCACATTTCCCCGTATCTCACTGCGCCGCTAATGCAAACGAAGCGAGTTCACAAAACATCATTCCTGGTCTATTGGAAACCCAGTTCTAGACTACATGTTGGAGCATTTAATGTACGTACATTATGTCAAATAGGGCAACAACCTTCGTTAGCTCGAACATTAGAATCTCGCGCCATCGATGTATGCTGCGTCTCGGAAACGCGCATACAGGATGTGTGTGGTGATTACTACAATATCAGTTGATTGGTATCACTGATTGGTATAAAAAAATCGGTCATCGTATAAAATATCAACAACCTTGAGGCAACCAATCAGAATTAAAATAATGCTTCATGTAATAATTTGGTACGAAATTCAAAGTTGCACTACTCTGACTGACAGACAAACAATTTGTAGATGGTTGTTATATTTTATTAAATAAAAAAAATATGAAAAATTGGCAATAAATAGAAATCTTTCAAAATGTTTGAAATCAATAGGAATTTTTATTTCCCCTGTTTTTTTTCGTGAAATTAAACAGTAAACTAAACAGAATTGCTCTTGTTGTTATTGAGTTTCTGTGCTAATGTGATATGTCAAACTGAACTAATTGACGTACGTACGTACGCGCGAAGTTCTACGTTGTAAAACTAGCTGATTAACTGTCTGATGTAGATAAGATAGTCCGTTAGAAACTCTTCCTCTAAAACCTCAACTATAAGTCTCATATTTTCGTAGACAGTAGAATGACGTTGTACTGTATCATAGCTGATGTCAGTTCATGATCACAATAACCTTGACCCTAAATTTGTAAAAAATCAAACTCAAAACTCCAAGTTGACTTTTATTACTTAAACCTAACTTTTTAACATCATAGCTGGTCTCCTTTATCGACGAAAACTCTGTGAGGTGATAAGCTCAACTCATAAAACCATCCAGAACTTAGCTATTGCATTCCACCAAAAAGAATAATTCGATATGTAAGGGTTGATTTTTGGCTTTCGGCTTTTAGTTTGATAGGTTGCTCAAGGTCATTAATATATTAGATTACACTTTCCCTGTTTACACATATAAACATACATTTTAACAACTGCTAAAACGTTAAGATACAAAATGCTAGGGTATCGATAATTACCGGTTATTTCTAATAAATTACTTATATTACATAAGACTAACAGTTGATCAAACCAATTACAGCATTGACCAACAGATATGATTGATTAACAAAACCTTGAGGCTTTGCACGCCTTACGATTATTAAGATTGTGGTGTGAGCTACTTATAAGTAGTATATGACATGAGTGTCAACGTAATAATGTCAGGCAGCAGAATATGGGGGAAGATCAAGAAAGGAAGAGTTAGAAGAACACAATGGAATTTGTATGAAACGCATGAATAGTAGTGACAATGGATTGATTGATGTTTTGCAACAGGAACAGTCCAGTTCCATAGGATGAACTGATCTTTTGCAAATGAACAATTTACGATATGGTTTTCCGATTTTACTGAGTAACTCTGTAATTTTCGTTAAATACAATTTCGGTTGCCCCACCTGTGTTCTCGTTCACTACAGTCTGACTGTCACTCGCAAGGTCGTGGATACGAACTGCTGGTCAGTCCTATACAAGGACGAAACAGCCGTCTAATGCTTCTGTTACGCTCGTCTCTAGGTATGCTTCAACT